CTTTTTTTCCCCCAGTACCAGGGACTGAACTCAGGACTCTGAGCTTGCCAGGCAGGAGCTTATTCTACTGAGCTATCCTATCTCCCTGCCGCCAGTATTCCTTCCCCCCCCCCCGCCCCGCCTTTTTTTTGTGAGACAGTACAGTGTTGCTATGCAATTCCAGCTGATCTTGCCCCTCACAGCAATCCTCCTGCCTCTGCCTCCTAAGTGCTGGTGTTGCAGGCATGTGCAATCAATCTCAGCAAGACCCGAACTTGCAAGGGAAAAGGGGAATGGGAGGGATGGAAGGTGGAAGGAAGCAAGTGCAAGCGAGCGAGTTGGGAAGTGTAGCTCAGTAGCAGAGCGCCCCCTAGCGAGCACACGCTGGACTGCATCACCAACACCTACCTCTCACCCACCCTACAAAAAACAGTTTAAAAAAGGAAACTGCTCCCTAGCTTTTCTCTTCCTTTTCCTGACTGATAAACTAGAACACCAGAGGCCACGGAGCATAGGATGGAAGAAACCAGGAATCCACACTGCCTTTCCTGCCGATCTCCCTGACCACTGGGGGAGCTCTTCTGAGAGCTACCAGGGAGAAGGACGAGGCTGCTGTTTCCTCACAGCTCCGAACCGCTGGATTTACTTGGTACACCGCCTTAGCAGGCGCAGTTACTGTTGGAATTGCAGTAGTAAATTACGTAGCGGGGATTGAACACAGGATTTGGAACTGAGCTACAGCCGCAGCCCACTTATTTTTTTTTTTTTAAATCTTATTTATTTATTTATTTTATTTGGTACAGGGGCTTGCTATGTAGTTCAGTCTGGCCTTGAACTCACTATTAGCCCAGGCTGGCCTCAAATGCGTCTACCCTCCTGCCTCAGCTGCTGGGATCACAGATGTGTGCCACCATGCCCACCCTTTTTTATTTTTAGACAGAATCTTGCTAAATCGCACAAGCTGGGCTTGAACTTGTGGTTGTCCTGCCTCAAGCACCCAGAGTCCTGCGAGTGTAGGTGGGCACCACTATGCTTCAGTACATTTTTAAATTATCAGGACAGGAATAAAGATGTACATTTCCTATCTTATTCCCCTTTTCAACCGTTTGAAATCTCTCAGTAATTCTCCTTACATAAAATACATCTATTCATAACACCAAGAACTGCATTTTACAGGTGGGGGATATGGCTCAGTGGCACAGCACCTGCCTGGCAAGGACAAGGTCCTGAGTTCGATTCCCTTCCTCTCCTCCTGAAGAAAGAATTGCATTTTACACAGTGTTGGAAACACGCGTCGATCACTTTTGTGTTTACTTGAGCTACATTTCTTTTAAAATATTTTATGTATGTATGTATTTGGTACAGGGTCTCACTACACAGCTCAGATTGTAGCGATCCTCCTGTCTCAGCCTCCCCAGCGCTGGGATTACAAGCATCACCACCACACCCGGTTTCAGTGGCCAGTGGGCAGGAACAGCACGTGGTACAGGGGATCAAA